TTTTTTGCACTAATTATTTACATATCTCCTCTCGACGCCAAGGCACAACCCCTCGATGCCATGGTGTTAGCCTGGCTTCAAGTTTTCTCTTACTGGCTATAGAAATTTTAGGGTTAATTATGGCTTTATAATCTTCAAGTTTTGCACTCGTTTAGCCTTTAGATAGACTTGAGCTTCTCTAAGATTGACTCTTAACTTGTGTCCTGAGGTTTCCTTAGCTTTTTGGCACTTTTCTTCAATTATTTCTTCCTTGCCTTGCTTCTATAATCAAATGACATTTTAAAGCATGTTTTCCCTTGCATTTAGCTGAGTATGCATTATTTGAAAGCTTATAAGATGTTTTTTAATGATACATGCTTTTTCAAGCAAATATGTAACATTAAGGGATAAAAAATGTATTTGAGATAATTTTAATCCTTAACATTAAGTTCAAGATAACATGTGATTTTTTTCAAATCAAAACATGATATAACTTAAGGCTAATAGGGAAATATGTGAAATCTCACCTTAAGTAAGAAGGTAATTGAGGAATCTTTAGGTGAGCATGCATATTTTATGTTTTGAAATGCTAAAACTAAGTTTTTACATTGGAAATATTCATGTTTTGATGTATAAAAATGATTTGCAAAATTTGGTGTTAAAAGGACTCTAATTGGATAGGTTTTGAAGCTTATTTTTACTTACTGGAGCAAATCTATCAATAAATGTTCTTAATCTATTGATAAATTGAACCCAAAAAGCTTTTAAAAAAGACCTTAAAGAACATCTATTGATAGATGTTCATCATTTATCGATAGATTTGTTCCAAAGGCCAAATCTATCAATATATGACCAAATCTATTGATAGATCATGCCATTTTTAGATAAATAAAAAGGGTACAATTGTATTTTCACACCTTAAAGTATAAATATGTCACATTTTACTAGGGTTTTATAATTCTCGACCATTTTCACTAGTTTTTAATTGACCCTCATCTTTCTCAAACCCATTTTCAAACCAAATCATCATTTTGGAAGATTTAAAGCTTGGGTTTGAGTTTTATGAACAAAGGTAACAATTTTCAACCTTGAAATCTTTGATTCATGAATTTAGAACACTAAAAATATTTTTTTTATGCCAAGATTTTTTGTTCAATACTAAAGCTTAAAGGTTTTGTGATTTTCTTTAATATCAAAGCTCACTTAAGGTAAAGATGAAAAATTTATGGGTTTACAAGTATTTATTATGTTATGTAGTAGTGGGTTTAAGTTGAAAAATTAGATTAAATGAATCCAAGTAGTTTAAAAATGCTTAGAATGATTATTACGAGATTATTAGTCTAATTATTGATTATGATGATTGTTAAATGTTTAAAAGTAGTTGGAAACTTAGAAACATTCATCGAAGTGGAGTCTTGATCATTGTTAGAAATTAAGCCTTCAATTAAGTGAGTCGATATGCCTTTTCAAGTATTTTGATATATAAAGTAAGCATCTATTGAAATTATTTATAATTCATGAAGAATTGTTGTTTTAAGAATGGCTTTACAAGGATTTGATTATCAATATTTTTTTCAAACTAGATTTAAAAAAATTATGATTAAAGGATAATTGTTAATGATGACTTTTGTGTGAGTTGATCACAAATGATATTCAACAAGTTGCGAATCTAATATGCATGTAAATAACCTGTTATGTCTTGGTTTTCAACAAAGGGGGACAAGCCCTTTCAAATGCTTTCTATCAAAATGAGATGAATGGAATGGTGTATATACTTGACATGATGTCGTATAGAATGTTTGTGGATGTATGAGTTCCCACCTATGAGTTAATGAATGATGATGAAATGCATGTATATGATGTTGAATTTCTTGGGGGGTGTATATATTCCCTCCCATGATAAGATTATGAATTATGAGATATGATATGAAATGTATGCCATGAGATGTGTGAAATGAGACTTCCATGTATGGTATGGGCTAAGTAAGATAATGGTTGATAAGAATGATTTTATGATTATGATGCAAGTTATGAATAAAAACAATCCTGTACTTAGGGAATCCATACGATAGTGGGGATTGATCACCATCCACTGGAGTTAGGGCAAGCACTGCTTAAAGATGTGGGTGAGGCAGAATGCCACTTAGAAAGCAAGCTTGGAACCTGAGATAATGGGGGTTAAACCACTTTCACTTGAATGGGGCAAACACCACTCAAAGTTATGGAATGCCTATGTTGTAATAAGAAAGTCCTATGCATTAAGGATAATGAGTCTATGTTATGCTGAATGAGAATTGTTGCTGTGATGCATGCTAGAATGTATATGTTATGTCGAATGAATATTAATGATGTGATACACACTAGATTGTGATGGTTTTAGGTTTGGTTAAACTGAACTTTAGATGAAGGAATAGTACCATTTAATAGAAAGACTCAAAGAATGGTTATGTGTAGGATTTCACTTAAAAAATTGAGTTCCAAGACTGATCTATCGAATCTTGAAGGAGATATATCAATAGATTTTGGATAGAACACTACAGGAAACATTCTATGTAAAATCTATTGATAGATTCCAAAATCTATCAATAGATGCTTTTCAGAATTAGGTTTTCAAGTGTTTTTTAAGGGATTTTCGAAGGCAAATGATTTCCAACGGTTTATGAAAACTTGTTTTCAATTAAATGTTGTAGGAAATGTATTTAAATGCTATGTTTTATGAGTATTATGGAAATTGAAAATTCTTTTTTTATGAAGGAAATGCAATTACAAGTGCATGGTTACAAAATACTTTCCCCCTTGCTTGTCCTCTTCCACATATCCACTCATAAAGTTTTGTGATTTATACGTTATTTCCCTCTTTTTATTTTGTAGATCAGTGATTAATTTACACCATTGTCATGGAGTCGAGCTCTTGATCTTCTTTCTTTGGTAGGTGTTTAGCAGCCACTGGATACCTAAAGGGTTTTGTCATGTTCTACTAACAAGTTGGTCTTTATTTTATGTTTATGGATATTTGAATGTGTTTATGATGATGTAGCCAATGGTTGGCATCTACTTTATGAATGTTATGTTTATTTGTGCAAAGGTGGTTTGAAAGCCTATATGGACACCCGAGGGTGTAGATAAATGATCATATGATATGATGTATGAGTTTTGACTCTGATCTTAAAAATGAATCGGAGTAAATACATTGTTTATGTTGAAAAGTTCCATAACCATGTACTATTGTCAATGGATGAATGTAAATAATGGTATATTGATTGCCTTATGTACTATGATGATGGTTAATGAATTATAATGAGTATGAATGAATGTAAGAACGTTTGTTCAGGCTTAGCGAATTATAACCATCTAGGTTCTTAAATCAATCATGATCCCTCCACAAAATGAGATATTACAAAATGCCTATTAAGCTTATTTACATTAAATACCATTTAAGTAAATGCCCTCATTTTTACTTTTTTCATTTTTACTCTCTATTTAGTTAAGATATTTAATATAAATAAACAAATAACCCCCCATTTAGATTCAATAAAAAGTATCAAAAAAATAAAATTTCAAAAGAATTAAAATCTAAATTTGGCTTACAAGAACAAAATTGAAAACGTTCGACTGAAATTATATTTTAAGTTCTCATTATCATAACAAACATACTTCAAAAATTATAGAAAAATCATTGCAGGTTATATCAATACCAAAGGAGCTATTATCACCATTTTGTAGTTCCATTAGATTGTTTTATAAAAATCATATATCTTGACTCCTTTTAAATTTAGAAAAAATTTTAACTTCAACAGTGACAACTAACGGCTATATCTGATAAACAAAATCATGCATAATAGATGTTAAGAGCTCATCTAAGGATTTACCCTACTATCTTCCTATAAAAGCTAGGGGTTTTCACAATTATGGTGGAACAAGTCCATGTATGAATCATTAATGAACAGTTAATGAATGGTTAAAGAAATGAGACTTACTAGGACTTAGTGGGTCATAACTAGGTAGGACCTAGTATCAGTCACGAGCCTCCAGAAATGGGTTGTGACATTTATGATCTCTGCTTTTATTAATAAAGTTTAAATTGATTATAGTATGTTATTTTTATATCATTTCTAAATATACAAATTATTGGACGTTGAAGATATATATGTGAAAAATTCATGTGTTTTGTCGTTTTAATTTTTATGATATCAAAATCTACTTACTACAATTTGATTAATTATGGTACATTCCTTTCTATGAAAGAAACTTTATTTTAGGAGTGAAATTGTTTTCATTTTGGAGATTTTCTTGAAAATACATCCTCCTTTTGTTTCAAATATTCCATATTTTTAAACTTCAAATGTTAATTAATTGAATATTAATGGAATCTTGATTCACAAATTTATTATTTTTATTATTATAATGATAATGTTCTTATATTAAATGATCAACGTGCAATGCTTATGTAACAAAAACTACTAAAACAAAAGTGTGACCATGTTTTGTCGATCATGCTCGATGTATTGCATCTAACATCTTATTGTCAAATAAAACTAAAACAACACCACGGTTATGTAGAAGACTGAATGAAATGTACGGAGTGTTTATTGTGAAAATAAAGACACAAAAGATAGTCTTTCATTCAATATGTGCTCTGTTATGGGGCACCCAAAAATAGAAACTTAACAAACCTTACATACTCTTAATACATGATGATCACACAATAACATTATAAGTAAGCTTATACATGAGCCTACATCTGTATTAACATATCGAACACTTGTTCTAAAGAGATTAACAAGTGTACAAAATCATGAAATGGATCCCATGCATACTACCATGTTGAGCCTTCAAACCAGCAACAGAACATAGCTATGTGCATGAAATACAAGTGGCTTTTCACATGTCGCAAAGTCCACTTGTGAAAGCAAGCATTAACTTCAACACTCCCTTTTAATGCTTGCATTGACAAACTTCAAAGTTTTTGTATGATACTTGAACTTTGCCTTACACAGTATTTTGGTCATTGTATCAGCGATCTACTCCCTTTTGTTGCAGTGAATAATAGCTATCTCACCTTCATTTTCAACATTTATCAATGCTTGGTACTTGACACAATGCTCATCAAGAAAGTTCTCTTCAAAAGAACTTGGCTCTGTCATAGCCAATTGACACCTTTGACAGATGTCCAAGATTGATCTTACTCCTCTAATAGAACCTTCATCAACTATCTCATCTTCATCAACCTGACTTTGGCTCCAGTTCCATTCACCATTTTTATCAGATGCAAAATTTCTACTGATAGATATCTTGCCAGAATAAACCAAATATATCTTGTAAGCCTTTGAATGTAAACTATAGCCTGTCAGAACTCTAATTTGAGCCTTGCGAAGAAGCTTATTTCGAAGTTCTTTTGGTCTACGCCCATAATATACCTCAGAAAGTGAAATATTCCTTACACAAGCAGGAATAAAATTAAACAAATAAATTGTAGTTGAGGTAGCTTCAACTCAGAACCTTTTTGGAAAATTATTTGCAGCACCAAAATTACTTATTTGCTTAAAATTTCCATAATTGTTGTTGCTAAGTCTTTTATGCCACATGGTTGTCAAACTTGTCTTTACCTCACAAATCTGCAAGCAAGTCTCATTCTGATTTACAGGAAAACATTTTTGTTTCATGGGAATTGTCATCAAATAATCACCACTGGGAGCATAAATAGTGCAACATTTATCTTTGAATAACAGCACATAATCATGCTCAAGCATTTGGCCCACACTTAACAAATTTTGATTAATTTCTAGTGCCAAGAGAGCTTCAAAGACAAACCTGGAGCCCGTTGTAGTTTGTATAACTGCTAACCCTTTTCCAGTTGCTTCCAATAACACACCATTGCCGATCTTTACTCTTGAACGGTAATGATTATCAAGTTCAGTAAATGAAGTTTCATTTGGGGTCATGTGGTTCGAAGAACCACTGTCCAAAAGCCATTAGTTAGCATTAATGGCGTTTACATCATCAGATTGCACCATGAATAAGACTTCTTCTTCTGCTACAACAGCTTTATCCACTAGTTCTTGTAGTTTTGCTTAAGTCTCATCCTTATTCTTGCATACCCTCTGAAAATGTCTCAACTGGTTGCACCTTCTACACCTTACATTGGGTCTAAACCAACAGCTAGCCTCGGCATGACCATTTCTTTTACAATGAGAACAGAGTTGTCCTTTCCCTTCCTTCTGCTGGTTTCTATTCCCTAATTGAACCCCTTTCTCTTTCTCCTCTTGTTCATCCGAGTCCTTCCTCATGCTTGACTCTCCCACCGTTTTTCCTTTTATCTTTGCAAATAAGGCATTTTCGGTGATGTTGTCACTTCTCATAACTCTCTTTTGCTCTGCAGCTTGGAAAGCATAAGCAACATTAGAGAGTGATAACTTAGAGAGTTCCTTTGATCGTTCTAGAGAGGTTATTGTTGACTCAAACCTCTCTGGTAAGGATACAATAGCCTTTTGAATGGCTCGTCTCTCAGATAAATCTTCTCCCAATAATCTAATATGATTCACCACCCGCATGAGCTTATTGATATAATCTTTAACTTTCTTTGAATCCTTCATTCTCAAGATCTCAAACTCCCTAGTTAAGTTCATAATTTGCATCTCTTTAGTTCTTTTTGAACCTTGGAATTGATCTTTAAGTCTGTTCCAAGCATCTTTAGCTGTTTTACACACCATTATTCTCACAAACATTGCATCTGTAACAGCTCCTTAGATGTATGACAATGCACGATAACGCTTAGCAACCTCTTCGTTATACAGTTTAATTTGAGCAGCTGTTGCATTTCCTTTCAAGGTAGGAACATCAGGTCCTAATTCAACTACTTCCCAAAAGTCAAGCCCTCGATGATAAAACTCCATCTTGGCAGACCAAATTGCATAATTCTCTCCATTAAACACCGGTGGAGCTTGATAACTGAAGGCAGTGTTAGAAGTTGAAGTCATGGTGACAAACTAACTTGTGGTTGGTTTGCTGAGAAAGGGTTTTGGGTTCTTTCACTAGTAAGGCCCTTAAGAACTTACCAATGCTCTGATACCATGTTGTGAAAATAAAGACACAAAAGATAGTCTTTCATTCAATATGTGCTTTATTATGGCGCACCCAAAAACTGAGACTTAACAAACCTTACATACTCTTAATACATGATGATCACACAATAACATTATAAGTAAGCTTATACATGAGCCTACATCTGTATTAACATATCGAACACTTGTTCTAAAGAGATTAACAAGTGTACAAAATCATGAAATGGATGCCATGCATACTATCATGTTGAGCCTTCAAACCAGCAACAGAACATAGCTATGTGCATGAAATACAAGTGGCTTTTCACATGTCACAAAGTCCACTTGTGAGAGCAAGCATTAACTTCAACAATGTTTTGCACGTAGAAGCAGAGGCTAATGAAACCTAGCTACTGTATTTTTCGGTGAAGAACTTAACCAGCGCTTGATTACACATGAAGTTTGACGTTTGTATTGTCCATTAATTTTTCCACATTTATCCGCCTGATGTTTGACCTTGTAAATTTTAATCAAACCACCTGAGTTGCCCCAGTGGAAGCCTTATTGTGCAAGGTATCATCTGAGTACATCCCATGCTTGGTTGAATCGTACTTCTCTCCGTCACCCCATAGAGCGTACGCCTCTTCGCCATGCACCGCGTCATCCCCAATTGATAATTGTTCTTCCGACATACGCAACGGGATTACTAGGTTGATAGCTACACAAATAATTGACGTGAGGACAAGGTTCCATCCGATTATGAAAGCGCCGCCTGCTAATTGCTTCAAGATCTGCATGCCCCCGGAGCCTCCATAGACGCCTCCCCTTGAGTTTGCTACGGGTAAAAACATTGCACAGAGTTGAGGTTCAGCAAAGAGACCGGTCAGGACACCGCCAAGAAGTCCCGCAACTGCATGAGTATGAAACACTCCTAGTGTGTCATCAATTTGCTGAAGCAGTGTCCATCTCTTGTGTACGATCATCAGTGTGAACCATGGGACGCTGCCTGATAGAATTCCCATCACTATCGCAGCCCATCCTTGCACAAGACCTATATATATTTTTAGGAAAAAAAAAGGAAAAGGAAAGAGAGACAGAGAGAGAGAGAGAATTCAATTTAATAAGATTACATTTAAAGAACACGTCAACCCACCATGACTAAGAGAAAAAATTGAAGCCTCCTTAGTACCTGCTCCAGGAGTGATGCAAACAAGGCCCGTAATCATGCCCTGGACGGCACCAATGACGGAAGGTTTCTTAAAGAAAATAACATCAAGCCAAGTCCAAATAAGAAGGCTAGTTGCTGCACAAATGTTAGTGTTTAGAACGGCCATGGAAGAGTCAACATTGGCAGCGTAAGGATCTCCACCGTTGAAACCTGCCCATCCCATCCACAGCAGTCCTGCCCCTGCCAACATCAGTAGAACGTTGTTTGGAGGAAATCTCTCTCTGTCCTTTTTGGATCTTGGCCCCACCTGCATCACAAAGTCACTATTAGATCCTCAGATTGATTCGAAGTTGGAATTAATAAACTCTAGTATTACTTTTCATCCACATATGGTTTTAATAATTATCATCAAAAAAATGAATTCTACGGTTATTAAGTGCAATTTTACACATGTAAATGGTAAAGGTAAATATATGAAAACACAATAGACAAAAAAAATAATTAAAGGACCCTAATTCCCTAGAAACCATAATAAAATCAAAATTTTCATTTTATACCAAAACCACCAAAGGGCAGAACATCAATTTTTTGTCTTTTCTTATAAAACCTTTAAGTGAATACAATGCCTTATAATTCCGAATGTAACCTTTTGGGGCAATGAAGTGTACTCCGGAGAGTAAAAAACTTTTATGAAACGTTTGGGTTGACTGAAAGTTATGTTCTTCCAGTTCAACACTATTCCTTGGTCAATGTCAGATCAGAGCTAAGGTTCCTGAGATTGGAGACTAACCCAAAACGCGGCAGTAAAACCAGCAATCCCTGAAGAAAGATGAATAACATAACCACCAGAGTAGTCAATAACGCCCCAGTGAAACAGGAAACCTCCACCCCACAAGCTAAATGCACCGACAGTATAACAGAAAGTGAGCCAAAGCGGTACAAAAGCCATCCAGGCTTTTATATTGATCCTCCCCAGCACTGACCCAGCTAATATAATCACCGTGATCGCCGCAAACACGCACTGAAACCAAACCATAGACGCCATAGGATAAAACGGTGTCACCATAGCCGTCTCCAGCGTACCATCATGATGGAATTGTGTTGTCTCAGGGAGTAGTGCTTGATTTACTAGAAACTTTTGGCCCAAGGCAGGCCCTGCTTTACCCCAAAAGGGCAAAAGCTTATGCCCAAAGGACATCTTGTACGCCCAAATAACCCAGCAGATAACTACGGTAGCAAAAGCATAGAGGGCCATGAAAGCTGAATTCACTGCCCACTTTTTTTTGACAACGCTACCGTAGAGGATGACCAAGCCGGGCACGCTCTGAAGGCCCAACGAGGGTGGCTTGATATCATCTGCCACGCATTATCTCCTTTGTTTAGCCAAACTGGTACTGCTGGTGTGCCGCCTTGGTAGGCCAGCGGCACCGGGTTGGGAGGAAGAGCGGCCATGCTGCTAAGCCAAAAATTAAGCCTACCTTATAATAGACTTGTTCAAGGAAAACAGATTTTATAGGTAGTAATTTTTTTTTGTTTCAAATTAAATATTTAATTTTGATTTGATATAAAGATTTTTTAATTAATTTTTAATTTTGATATAAATAATAAAATATTTATTTCAATGTATTTCATTTTTAAAAAAAATTAGAAAATTTATTAATTATAGATTTCAATATAAAAAATTAATATGAGACATAAAAATATAAGTTAAAAATATTAACAAAAGAGACATGAAGATGATTCTAAAATTGATTGTCAAAAATTGACTAAAAGAATAAATATTTCATTTGGAATAGAGTTAATATTTTTAAAAAAATGTCTTTTCTGAATTAAATACATAGTGGTCATGACCATGGATGAGCTGTTCCGAAATGTGATTTGTTGATATCCGAACTTCTAACAAAACGGCAATTTTGTCATATTAATTAGATTGACTTATTGTTTTTGGTTAGTCAAGGTGAATTGTACAGTAAGGTTAACCTTACTATAAGGTCAATTAAAATAATTTTAAAAAAAATAACAAAAACCTGTTTAATAACTTAATAGGTAAATAACATAAATAATTTATAAACTTATTCATGTTATATTAACAATATAGATAATTTATAAACTAATCTATTTTATTTTAAATATTATTTAATTTTTATTTTTATTCTATTTTTTACTTTAAAATACAAGAATATTATTATTTTTAGTACTAACATTATTAATAACTAATTTAACTCAATTAAAATTATTATTATGACTTATTACATTAAATCTCACACATTTATGTTAATATTTTAACAATACTTGTTCTATCTTCATAAGTTTTATGTTAATTCTTACTGTTTTAGGTTAAAGTTTTTCAACTATTAACTTTCACAATAATTATTTTTATCCTTATTATTATTTATTCATAGATTAAAACTTGTAAGCCGCAAAATACTTTAAACTTGATAATAAAAAATAAAGTGCTTAATTTTTTTAAATATTATGTTTATTTGACATAATTGACTTGTTAAATTAATTCTCAAAAATTTATGTTAATATTTTAACAATGTTGTTCAACCTGTCATAATTTTTTATATTAATTCTTACTATTTTACGTTAAGGCTTTTTTGTTACTAATTTTTACCATAATTCTTTATATCTTTACTATTATTCATGTATAGATCAAAAATTGTAAATCGTAATACACTCTAAACTCAAGAATAAAAGTTTAATTTTTACAAAATTATGTTTATTTGATATAATTGACTTGTTATATTAAATCTCACACATTTATGTCAATATTTCGACAATTCTTTTTCCACCTTTATAATTTTTTGTGTTAATTCTTACTCTTTTATGTCAAGGTTTTACAACTATTAATTTTCACTATAATTCTTTCTATCTTTACTATTATTCATTTATAGATTAACATTTGTAAGCCGCAAAACAATTTAAACTCAAGAATAAAAATTTAAATGTTTAATTTCTAAAAAAATTATGTTTATTTGACATGTTGGTCCCGTTGATGTGCTAGAAAAGGGTGAATACACTAAAAATTTTAAGGTTAGCCCTTTTCAGCTTGTAGAGATCCTAATCAATTAGAGGAAGGAAAATTAAAAACTTGTTATAGTTAAAAAAACACCAAGTAAGGAAGGGTAGAGAGAAGTGGATAATGCACAATTATTTATAGTGTTTTGATTTTTTTAACCTAAATCTACTACCTTGATCTCCCAATCAAGGATTTTCAATCTAATTTCACTATAATAGTGGAATTAGCAGCTTCTACCTAGTCTTTATAAGGTGAGCTTCTAACTCAAGCTCTAATATCTTACAATAGTCTTTAGAGTGCTTCCCACACTCTAATTTAAAAAAAAAAAGCAAAAGAAGTACAACTGATTACCTTTACAGATCTAGAAAGATTCCAATAAAGCTCATACACTTTTCCAAGAATAGGTATGAAGAACAAGTTTTTTTGGTGAAGATTCTTTGGCCTTTTGCTCAAAATGGCTTATGGTACTTCAATATTTTT